TGAATGCTGTGTTGACTGAAAAAAATTCTTCCTTATGACCCCCGATCTGAATTCCTCTAGATAGAGTCAGCTGATTAGCAAGTGTACCTTAAGGGGTATAAGATGACAGTGTGGAAACACCAGCCCCAGGCACCTGCTGAAAATGGGGACCACTATTGCAGCAATATGCGACATTTACATCTGTTTGGTGCTTTGGGATTTATGGTGCTCTCCTGTATAGGTCTGTTTTATTGTGACTTCTGTACAGGAGACAGACATGGTTTCCACTTGACTTTTGAGAAAACAGAGATGCTGAAGGGCACTGCCCAAGTTCATGGATAATAAATGATAGAAAAAGAATGAGGATACGGACCTGGTTCTTCCACCGCTGCCTTTCCAGTTCTCATTGGAAGTGGGCACCATTTGCAGGTCTCCGCATGTGGAACAAGTGTCCTCGTGACGTGGCCTCCCCTGCCTCATGGCCTGTCTGTAGCCATTAGCCCTGCACACCCACCACCCCTCTGGGTCGCTCTCGGATGAGCAGCACTTCCCACATTCTTCCCTACTGCCACCACCTTGTGCCTCTGTCCCCTCTCTCAAGACTAAGCTCAGACATTTCTTCTGTGGGATTCCCTCACACCACCCTCCTTCCCGAGGAAGAGCAGGATCCAAGCCTCCTCCGTCTACCCCAGTCCAGGACATCTTTTTCTTGTGCCGTGTTTGACAGCCATAGCCAGAGGTTTGTCCCTCTGTCCTCACTGTCAGTCTTTCTATTTGAACGTGGCCATACTTTGTGCTCTAATTTTTAACTTAGACCATTACCCCCTCCCAGAGGCTCCACGGTCCTCCTGTCCCCTTAGTTGACTTCTTTTTAACACAGCTTCCTTTGGGAGCCAAGGGCTCAGGCGAGGATGGTTGAACACACACCCAGGATCAAACAGCGCCTTTCAGTTCTGCAGGGAGAAGTCTCCCGTTTGGGATTTGGGGTGGCGTACTCAAGAGTGCTCTTCATGGGTGATTACGTTCCGGATGACCGTGGAGTGGTGTAAAACGTGGTTTTGTCTCCAAAGGTAGATTATGGGTAGATGAAGAAAATTCAGGTGGTAGGGGGAACGTGTAGAAGAAACAATTAAAAAGAAACTCTAGTTTCTAGTAAGGAGAAATCGCACATGATCAGGTGAGGCTGTGAAGCTAGATCATCCGCCCCTTTAGTTTCCCCTGAGGTGAGACGGTGGTGGGAGCTGAGCTTCCAGTTGAATTGAGAGTGACATGAAGGGAGAGAAGGGAAGAGGCAAAGAGGGTGAAGAGAGAAGGCGCTCTGCAGACCACATCAGATGTTCTGCCAACATTTTTCACATTAAGTGAAATTAGACACTTCATGCATAATTTAATTTTACTGGTGAATTCCTTTACTTCTCCTCTAGGAAAAACAGCAAACATCACTTGCTCTGCTTGCTTTGGAAAAGGCTCTCAGTTCTTGGCTGCCGTCCTGTGGCAGATTAACAAAACCAAAGTGAGCGATTTGGGTGAAGCAAGAATTCAAGAGGAGGAAGGCCAGAATGAAAGGTATTTTTATATCCAAGTTGAAACATCTCCTTCTTCTCCCTCATTATTGGCACCTGCAGAGAAAACATGAAAAGTACCAAGTTGCTGGGCATTCTGTAATCCCAAGGGCTCCGGAGGCTGAGGCAGGAGGATCGTGAGTTCAAAGCCAGCCTCAGCAACAGCGAGGCGCTAAGCGACTCAGTGAGACCCCGCAACTCTAAATAAAATACAAAATAGGGCTGGGGATGTGGCTCAGTGGTGGAGTGCCCCTGAGTTCAATCTCCGGTAAACTCTGCCCCCGTCCCCCAAAAAAAGTAACAAATTGCCTTCTCAGTTTTAGCAATGAGCTCATTTGTCGGAGCACAGTTTTAAGAATAACTGATGTGAAGAAAGAGGATTTGTCCTTGGAGTACAACTGTCTGGCCCTGAACCTGCATGGAATTATAAGGAATACCATAAGACTGAGAAGGAAAAAGCCAAGTAAGGAGTGTCTGAGGCAGTGGTCACCTGCGTCTGGTCTGCTCTGTCAACTGTAAGCTGAAATCATTTTCTTAGAGGACAGCGTCCTGCAGTTTGGTCCCAGGGACTCCATCATGACAATGGAAATGGGCTGTCTCATAGAGCACGCTTCTCCTGTACCGACTCTCAGCGCTCTGGTCTTTTCAGAATATTTCCATTTGCTAGGAACCTTCTCTACTGCTCTCTGTTCTCGTCCCCCTCCTCCCCTTTTCCTCCTCCTTGCCTCTTCCCCTTCGTCCTCCTCCTCCTCTCCTGCTTCTCCTCCTCCTGCTTCCCGGTGAGCTCCTCTTCCACCTGTGACTGCTTCCTAGGCCATTCCTACTTAGGTGCAGACCACAGAGGGATGCTGCTGGGTACCGAGGAGTCAAATCAATAATAAAGCTGCCTGTGAGTCATTGTGCTTCTGATTGTCACCACACCCAGATAGCACTAACTCTTCTCAGTGACAAAATGCTCTCGGCAGGGGCAGATGACCCCATGGTCCACTCCTTCCATCGGTCTCTGCCTGCAGTGTCTTCGAGGCGAATATCCCCATCAGCACTAGGTTCCTGTGCACTTGTTCTTTTGCAGTACCAGGGACAGTCATTTCGTTTATTAGGTGAAGTATTTGACCCCAGGGAAAAGGGAAAAATATGGGTCTGTTGACACAACATCACTCTCTTAGTAGCAGTAGAGCTACATGGAAATTACATATTATTTGTCAAAGATCCTGGGTTCATACCCACGTGCAGGGTATGGCCTGGATTCATCTGGATGAACACACAAACACCCAGAACGATGAAAAAGAGCTTGGGGTGGGAAGAAGCTGACCGGTTTGACATGGTCATGGTAGGTCTCCGTTTCAGTTTTCTTGTTTTGGCTTTGATTTTAACTTCTGATTTGTTTTTATAAAACAAAGAGCCACGACTCATGAAGAGGAGCTTAAATGCAGTCCTGCTCAGTAGGACATTAGGCTTCTACCCGTGGTGACTGTGTCACCCCAGGATGGCTGTGGACCAGGTCAAAATGTCCCAGGGTGGTAGTGGGCATGTGGATCCCACAGGAAAGGGGAAGCCATACACCACTCCCCACCTAGCACCACCGTTGTGTCCTTGTCCCTGTGCTTTGCTCATGTCACAATTCATGAATACTCTCTGATTACCTGTGTATTGGAACTTTGTTCATGTGACCTTTTTTCTTTGTGTGTGTGATTTTGTAGTTTCTAGTTTATTTGTATTTTATTGGTTTTGTTCAAATCAACAGTTACGCTCTGTTTCAGTGACTGTGTAAATTAAACAAAAATTGTCTCTACTGCTATACCTTTACTTCTGAAACTACAGCATCTTTTGAACTTAAATAACAAACAAAATCCTATGTCTCCATATTATTATATACTACTAAATAAATATTTGATGCTCATAATATTAATAACATACACGTATGCATTGTTTTTTTGTCCCAAGTCCTGTCTGGTTATTTTACAATTAAATTTCTCATTTATTCTCTTAATACCCCACAAGGGAGAGAATGTTTCTGTCATCTAATGTTATAGATGAGGAAACAAAAAAAGAGCCAAATAACTTGCCAAGTACTATAGATTACTACAATCATGGAGCCAGGATTCAAACACAGTGACATTTTTCTATTTATAAACACTTTCTGGGAGTGTTTAATGTTTATTCATCACATGCAAGATTGTCCTGTACCTTTTTTTTCTTTTTAAGAGAGAAAGAGAGAGATAATTTTTTAATATTTATTTTTTAGTTTTCGGTGAACACAACATCTTTATTTTTTATTTTTATGTGGTGCTGACAATCGAATCCAGTGCCCTGCGCCTGCCAGGTGAGCGCGATACTGCTTGAGCCACACCCCCAGCCCCTGTACCGTTTTAAGTTATTGTACTTAGGTAGATACTGAACACCAATTCTCTTCTGCATAGTGAATCAGTCTCTTTCCTCCAATTGAAAGTGTCCTGCACAGGACCTCACAACAACCCCCACAAGAAGTGTACATTCTTAGACTGCATCCAGATAGGACTTCTAGAAACCAGCCCCCTCCCCTTAACTCCTGGGGACTGCACCCAGTGGGGCTTTACCCCTGAGCTGCATCCCTAGCCCTTTTTATTTTGAGACTGGATCTTGCCCAGGCCGGCCTTGCACTTGTGATCCTCCTCCCTCCGCCTCTCAAGTAACTGGAATTACAGGTGTATATCACCGTGCTCAGTGTAGACAATCTTTTTGAAATGAGTTCCTGAGAGAGTTTTTATCATTCACACTGATGACAATGTAGACAGTAAGCTCTCTGCCAACGTTTAGTTCTTTTTCCCAGCTTTGGATCGCTTCGCCTCCATCATTCTTGATGTCGTAGTGCTGGGTACTCAGAGAGCTCATGAACACACGGAGGTGAGGAATCTGGGAAGAAAGGTCAGTGTCTTTCAGCATCAGTCGTGAGAGCCCATGAACTGAGTCTTAAGATTGAACCCAACCAAATCTCATTTGATCTCCCTTTCATTTTTAAGCCAGGCTGTTTCTAAGACAAGATGGCTGACAATTCCAAGGAAATAAACATTAACCACCAAGAATACTGTGAAAGTCATCAACCTCAGCAAAAGTGAGGCACTAAGCAACTCAGTGAGACTCTGTCTCCAAGCAAAATACAAAATAGGGCTGGAGATGTGGCTCAGTGGTTCAGTTATCCCTGAATTCAATCCCAGGTATCAAAAAACAAAAATCCCAGTTATTATGTTCAGCTTGTACACATCTGATACAAGTCCTGGAAGATGGAAACTATGTTGCATTTGCATTTCTTGAAACAAGGGATACTCAGATAAAGTTCAGTGATGGCTAAATAATATTTGCCATCAGAGGAGGAAGGGGTAGGTGAAGGATCCAGAATCCAGTAACTCGACTTGATCGGATAGGCTTCCGAGACTTCCAGGGCTCTGTCTGCACCTTTTCTTCCTACGCCATCCAACTATCAGAGCTCATGTGTCCTCCAGACCTATTGATTCATTCTCCCTAGTGTGCCTGACAAACACCAGGCTTGTCCATTCCCCTCCCCTTATTATACGAGTTTGAATCCTCATCTTGTACCCCAAAGTCTGTGCTCTTTACTACTCAGAGCACCTGCAATCTGTCTGCCCAGAACCCAGCCTTCTGCCATCGGATTAATCTTGTGTGAAAAGCACTTACACTGTTGATGGCTCCCGTGACTTTCAGATCAGAACAGGCAAGTGTGTTGCCTGGGGTTTCAAGTCTGGTCAAATCTAGCCCCAACCCATCTTTGTAATCATCTTTCACTAATTCCCCAAATTGGGTTGTTCCAGTTCCTAAGAAGACAGAGTCCCCTATCTGCACTTTGTCTCACAGCATTCTGCTGGACAGGAGGTCATTTCCTGTTTCTGCATGTCTGTGAATCCTACAGGTCCTTCAGGAATCTTCTGCAGGAAGTCTTCTTTGCCCAGGATGGAGCAAGCTCTTTTTCAAATGTCTCTGCTGGTTATAATCCTGCTTTTACCTCCCAGCTTAGTTAAGTTTACATGTGTCTCTTTTGCTCTTGAGAATCCTGGGTGATGACTACCTGGTGGTTTGTGCAGAGTATAGGTTCATTAATGTTGACGAACTGAAGCTTAAAGCAGCCATGAAAATTCCAGGGAAGTATTTTTGGTGTGAATCTCTTATAATTCCAGTGGAGGTCACTATGCATATATTTGTCTGTTTATCTTGTTTTCATAATACTAAGGATTGCTTTTCTCCTCTCCCTGTCCTTTGTAGTTGATCATCAACACATCTACTATGTAGTTGCAGGATGTAGTATCTCGTTAATGATAATCAATATCTTGGTGATAATTCTGAAATTATTCTGGATTGAGGTCGTTCTGCTCTGGAGAGATGTAGCTAGACCTTACAAAACTAGGAATGGTAAGTGGCAAGTTTCAAGTTTTTCTTCAAAAGAAAAAGGTTTCATAAGAACAGATTATCAGTAAATGGGGCAGGGGAGATATTGGGGATTAAATCCGAAAGTGCTTTACTCTTGAACCACATCCCCAGCCCATTTTATGTTTAGTTTTGAGACAGGATCTCATTAAATTGCTTTGACTGACCTTGAACTGTGATCCTTCCTCCTACCTCAGCCTCTTGAGTCACTGGGATTACAGGTGTGTGCCACCACACTTGGCTTAGTGAATTTTTTTGAGTCTACTCAGAGACCATTTTCCATCCTGCTCTGATGTTCTCTGTGGTACTGAGATTCATGATAACAGCTTAAATATTCTCCTTGCTAGATTTGCTTTTTCTACTAAATTCCTAATAGCAGAATCTGTCCCAAGCCCAGAAAGTTTTGAATATTTGGGAAATGCGTGTTACTAAAACTTTATGAAATAAAGTGCAGTAAAAAAAAGTTGTTTCTGTTTTGCATATGTACATAAGTTAGACAGATGCAGCAGAATGCAAGATCATTTTCCCTGGAAGGTTGTTTCAAAAGTATATACATGCACATGAGCACACATATACATGTGAGCATACAGTAGTATACACATCTATGAACACATACACGACACACATGCACATAATGTATACGTAAACAAGAGAGTTCTGCCTACTAAATACGGACATTATTCTTTCATTTGTAAGCAAACAGATGTTATATTTTTCTATATACTCTACTCTACTATAGCTAATTCTTTGTGGGAAATTGAGACGCCTTAAGAAATTCTGTTCTCTAGTTAGTCATTACTAGCCTTTAGCATTTTCACTTCTTCCAGGAAAGTATAGTAGTTTCCCCTTATCCTTAGTTCCATTTTCTGTAGTTTTAGTTACCCAAGGTCAACTGTGGTTAAAAACAATATATATATATATGAAAATACTATAACTAAACAAAACACAAGCTATAAATTCTGCACCATTCTGAGTAGTGTGGTGAAAATTGACACCATCCTGCCCAGGACTTGAATCATGAATCATCTCTTTGTTTGGTGTATCCACTAGACTAACAGGCTACCTACCTGTTAGTCAGTGTCTTGATTATCAGATTGACTATTGTAGTATATCAGTGCTTGTGTTCAAGTAACCTCTATTTAACTCCATAATTGCCCCCAAAGTACAAAAGCAGCTGTTCTGGCAATTTTATTACAATATTTTGCTGTGATTATGCTATTTTATTATTAGTTATTATTATTCATGTCTTACTGTGCCTGATTTATAACTTAAAACTTTCATAGGTATGCATGTGTAGGGGAACACTTAGAATATGTAGGGTTCAGTACTGTCTGAAGTTTCAGGAATCCACTGAGATTTTGGAACACATTTCCTGTGGATAAGTGAGGACCACTGTATTGGGGGGGAAATAGATGACACTGAGGTCTACCAGGCACCAGGAGAAGGCGTATCAATGACGATCAATAGTTCATAATAGATTAGTGATCAGTCATGACCACACCACTTGACCTACACTGGGCAATATCTCTTCTGTTCTCCATTATTCAGTCTGAGACAATGAATAGCAAGAGAAGTCTGGGACTAAGACTATCATTTCCCTACCACATTTTGTGGCAGTGGATTGTCATCATCTCTTGGTTCTAGAACATTTTGGAGGATGGGGATCATTCACCAACAGCCATAGAACTTGGTGAGGAAAGGAGTACTCGGAGAAGTGAAAATGAGGATTTTTAGAACCAAGTAATGGAGTTGTGCTTCTTGTTTTCATTTTCAGATGGAAAACTCTATGATGCTTACGTTATATATCCACGGGACTACAGATGCAATTCAGAAGAGGCCTGTTCTGCCGAGTACTTTGTTCATCAGATTCTGCCTGATGTTCTTGAAAATCAATGTGGATATAAATTATGCATTTATGGAAGAGATCTGCTACCTGGAGAAGGTAAAGCGGTCGCTGTATACATCATAGGATTCTTTCCAGGAAGCTCCCCTTTCATTCCCCAGCTCTCCCACACTGGTGGAAAGTAATGGGTGATGGTTTCAAGAGCCCTTTTCATGTCACCAGTCTGCTCGAGGGCTTGGCCGGGACACCACTGGTCTGTGAGCTCACACTGTGCACCACCCCTGGGCATGGGCTCTTCATCTCTTCTTTCTTAGTGCATCAAGTTCATTGCTAGTTCCACCCGTCCCCAGCCAAGTTTAGATACTCCCTGGTGCTCACGCCTGTGTTGCATTCACTGGGCAATGACACACTTATTGAAATGATTTCCTCCTCCCCCTCCCTCAAGGCCTAACCTGTGATCTTTCTTCCACTCCGATAGAATAAACCCACCAGACCACCACTGGACTCTCTTCTTTCCTTAGAAAAAGTTCGCACCTGGCTTTGTGGGTATTCTCATGCTAGTGACCTTCCATTTTCACCCCCTTTACGGCCCTTCTGCATCCCGCTCCATCCAGGATGGAGAATCTGGATTCGTGATCTTCATTTAACAATATGTCACAATATTTATTTTTTGACTTCAGACTGCATGAACTTGCAGTCTTCGGCCCCTACTCTAAGAAGATCTCGAGTCACTTTGTTCATGGTTGTGTTTCCTGACTGTACTTTCACCTTCTGTGCTGAGAACTAGGTACTTGACATGTTTTTCTTATTCCACCCAGAGATAGTTCAATCACCATGGTGTTGATGCTTCTTAGACACTGACTTGGCAAAAGATATAATATTCCTTAAGATTTTTCTAGTCTCGATCAAATCGGTCCCGACAACAGAGATTACTGGGGTATGAAGTGGAACCAGGAGTTTCCTAGAGACCTGGGTCAGCTTGGGCTGGGGGCAGGGCTTCCTGAAATTGCACTCTGCCCTATGTGAGTTAATATGTTAAAATATGTTTAAGTTAATATATGAAGCCCTTTTAACGTATGCACACATATTCTAAGTCTCTTACAGTCAAAGAAGAAAATTCTGATAATTCTAAATCTCCCATGAAACAGTAGGTGAGATACGTCCACACTCCCAATTCACTGGAAGGACGTTGTAGTTAGAATTGATTTTTACCTGGTGAAAAAGAGGGCATTGGGTGGATGTTTTTATGGTGATAGGAGAAAAAAGGAAAAAAAAATGGGTTGGTTCTCTATCCAAGTTCATTCCCACTTTCTGAATAGGTTATTTGATCAGTCATCAGAATCTCATGCCAGATTACAACAATAAGAATATTTTTTAATGTTCAGAACAACCCCCACTATTAGACTATAAAAAAGGCAGTGATAGGAGATTCCCAATCTATTTCTCACCTGACCAGATGCCGCCACGACAGTGGAAACCAACCTGCGGAAAAGTAGGCGACACATGTTTATCCTGGCTCCTCACATCACAAACAGCCAAGAGTTTTCCTATGAGCAGGAGATTGCCCTGCACAGTGCCCTCATCCGGAATGACTCCAAGGTGATTCTAATAGAAATGGAGCCTCCGGGAGAGACAGGTGGACTGCAGGTGGATGACCTTCAAGATTCCCTCAAGCACCTTGTGAAAGTGCAGGGCACCATCAAATGGAGGGAAGATCACGTGGCCAATAAACGGTCTCCGAATTCCAGGTTCTGGAAGCACGTGAGGTACCAAATGCCCATCCCAAGCAAACTCCCCAGCAAGACTTGCACAACAGGGACCAGCACTTCCGTTGATGCATGAACACGTCTGAGTTTGCAGCTCTCCTGACTTCTGGGGTTGGTGCTGGGATTTGCCTCTGCACCAGTTCTGAAGTGGGAATAGAAGGAATGTCCACGGTAGTCAGCCCTCGGGGCTCCACTTGGAACTTTACTTCTGTTTTCCTAATTCTAGGTGGATACAACTGCCCAGAAAAAAAGTTTACCACCCCTTCCCCATTTTGTTTTGTTCTGTTATAGCGTAGGATTTTTTTTTTCCTCCCTCCACAATGCTTTTGATTCTCTGATTTTGATTCTCATTCCTCATGGGTAATTTGCATTTTGAACTGGAAGTTTTAGAGTTAAATTTTGGTGTCATCTCAAAGAACACTCTGAGAGCTGGATGCAGTGGCGAGCACCTATAATCTCAGGGACTCGGGAGGCTGAGGTAGGAGGGTTGCAAGTTTGAGGCCAGGCTGGGGAACTTAGCAAGCCTCTGTATCAAAATTAGACATAAAAGGGCTAGGGATGTAGGTCAGTGGTAAAGTGCCTCTGAGTTCCCCCACCTGTTATGAAAAAAAAAAAAAAAAAAACCAAAGCCCAAAAAAATCCCGATCCCCACATACAGAAAATCAGTAGTAAATCTTATTCCCATCAAGTTACAATTTATTGTATTTTATTTAATAATTGTTCAGCCTTACTATCTAAATATTCACGTACTTTTTTTTTGGAATGCCTTATCCAAATTGCCATTAAAATAAAACAAAATTTTTCAGTTCTAAGATTTCTTTCACATGTTTAGATTATCTTTAGTAATATTATTTTCTTATTATCAAAGTAGACAGAAGCATATTGTAGAAGAACAGGAAATATAAAATGGGAAGTTAATAAAAATCTTTCATAAATCCACAATCTTCAGATTATTTCTGATAAATGTTTTTCTAATTTAAGAAAGTTCCATATTTAACTGGCAAAAGAAAGCTGAAGTACAGGCTCTTGTCAGGGAATGTCATCTTGAATTCACTGTCATACCTTTCAGGATCCTGGGTAGAAATAAGTCATAATGTCCAGAAGTTTGTCTGAAGTATATAGAGTTACTCTTCTTCCTAGGTACTCTGTACTCTTAACCTGTACCTTGAGATTAGGTTGCCAGATAAAACACAGAACAGCAGTTAAAGTTGAATTCAGAGGCTGAAATTTCATCTGAAGTTGATCTGAAATTCAAACTTAGCTGGACATTCTGCATTATTATTTTGCTAGATTACTGTACTTTTTTGTGGCAACATCTGATTTTATTGCATTACCCAAAAAACTAGATGCTGCATATCTGACTTGTTCACATCATAGAACTTAAAATGAACAAATCATTATCTGTTTGGGATCCACCAGGAATATGACCATGAGGAATTTCCTTAACTTCATTGAAACTTAGTTGCCTTAGGTGAAATAAATGTAATAATGCCAAACATTTTGGTTTCTGTGGTAATAGTAAAAACATATATTAGCATTGCCACAAGAATTCCATCCATGGTGACAGTTGTAATTATGAAGCCTCCCTGTACTTCTTGTAATGCTGATTATGTTCCGTGACACCTCTCAATGAAGATTCCTAAACAGTAAATTCTCTGCCGTCTCATTATTGGGAATAGATATACCTTTATCCCTGCTTCCTCACCCATCTAAAATGATAGATGTGTTTTTTTTGGTGTATGGACGCGGGAAATTTTGAGACCGATTTTATTTCCCTCTGTACCTCAGGTTTTTGGGATCTTTCTACCTTAGATATATAGGATTCTTAACAGACAATTGGTGATGATCTCTCACTTGGTTCTGTGATACATCTGTTTTCAACTTGCCCCATATTTCTTAATCTTGAATGTGTCTCCGGCCTCTATGTTATGAGCTCCTTTGCAAACATTCAACAAATATCGACATTTTCTGTATGTGTGCAGAGTACCTCCTTGGGAAGGGCGAGAAAGGAAGGCTGAGAAAGGAGGGAAGCACCCTCTGTGCCTGTTCTTACGGAGCTGGAAGCCTACTGTGGAAACGTGGTGGGAAGAGAAAGCAATTCAGAGATCCCAGAGAGGGCTGGCTTCGGGGAAGTTGACACTGCTGAGTTCTTTGCTTTCTCATACACTTTCCTAAGTTTACACACCATTTCCCAAGTCACCTAAGCTCTTTGGGGCTCAGTTTCTGCAGCTGACAAAATGAGAAGATAGAAAAAATGACCCCTAAGGGCTTTCTGAGTTCCAGGGGCTCCTAATTCCAAGTTGCCTGCTCACAGGGAGGTCAGGAACCTGCTGCATACCTGGATTCTCCTGCCAGCACCACCTGTAACCTCAGTCAGTTTCTTGCTCTGTGTGACAGGACTCATAGATTCACACAAAGTAGCATAAATAAAAGAAACTCAGCCCAAACTGATTGGGTGTCAACCATCTGATTGTGGCGAAAATGTCTGTGGATTATAAAAAACATAAAGAACTGTTTTAAATTGAGTCAAGTTTGTACTCATAGAACATATACCCTAGGTATTCAGGTCAGTGAGTTTTGACAGCTGAACCACACTTGTGTGGTTAGCACCCCAAACAAAATAGAAATGCGTGTCACCCCAGGAAGTTTCATTGTGACATTTCCCAGTCCATTCCTTTCCTTCCCCTGAGGTCAACAATGTTCACACTTGACAGACCTCCACATTCACATCAACATGCTTATGTGATGTTTGGTCTGGCTTCTTCTATAAAATAACATTTTTTAAAAGATTTATCCATATTTTGCATCAGTTAATAGTTTGTTTCTTTATATTGCTGAGCAGTGTTGCATTGTATAGCTATATAAGAGTTTGCTTAGTCATTTTCTTGTTGAGAGACTTGATGGGCTATTTCCCATTAATGGCTATTATAATATGGTTCCCATGGACATTCTTATGGGCATATTTTTTTTTAACTTCTTTTTGTTTAGTACTTAGAAGCAATGACAGGGGTAATTGTATGTTTAACTTTTTAAGAAACTGACAAATTGCTTTGCCAACTAATGATTGCATTTAAAATTTCCTCTAGTGAATGTGAGCTCTGGTGATCTAGTGCCTCACCAGTGACGGGTATTTTAGTGGTCAATGAATCTCACGGTGGTCTTATTTCTGCAGTTCTCTGACAATTAATGGTGTTACATCTTTTTCACGCTCTTATTGGTCACAAGTGTATCTTATTCAGTGAAGGTAAAATCTTTGCCCTATTTAAATTATGCTGATTCTTTTTATATGGTAGATGTATAGACATTATTTATATATTGTGGATACCACAGGTATCTAGAAGCACTATTCTCCTCTGGCCTCCTTTCTTTTGAACAACTTAAAATCTTAAGTCAACAACTCTGCACCCCTCTAGATTATTCTCCAGTAGGGAATTCCCATCCCTCATGCCAGGCAATGCCTGGAGTTTGACCTGAGTTCCTAAAATAATGACCCCTCCACCTGTTTGGCTCAGGGAGCCTTCAGTGGCTTGGGGACTCCTCTGTTGTCCTTCTGAAACAGAGAGCTCCTGGATTTCCTTACTCAGAATTAAAACTCCCTCAATCTGAGGCCAAATGCCCAGGAAATTGTGACTGATACGTTTTCTAACTCATCCACACATGTGTATGGCCTGGATTTTGTTTCTTTACATTGGAAGCGTTTCTGTGGGGCTGGAGGAGAAGCAGTCTAGCCGCTTCCTCCCAGTTTGAGCAAACTACATAAATTTCATTTTTTCCCCATCATTTGTCTATTTCTCAGGCGGGAGGAAACCGGTCCTGGGGAGGCGGGGGTGGGGGTGGTGGGGAGGATCTAAGCCAGGTTCCTGGGGAGGCTGCGGGTAACGCTTCCTCTCTCCGATCCTCCCCCAGCCTCTTCCTCTTAAATGGGGACACAGCGCTGGGGTCCAGGTGTCCTGGCTCCTGCAGCTAGTCTGGCTGTTGCGCCTGGCGGCCTCCAGGGTGCGCAAAAGCGGGAGGGGCGCGCCGACTCCTGACTCTGCAGGTGGCACCACCGCTGCCCTGGGTCGCTGGAGTCGAAGGTCACCCCTGCGTGGAGGCCGGGGCGGTTCCCAGGGCCTGGACGCAAGCGACCAGGATTTTCCCGCTGCGCCCGTCGCCCCAGGGATCCCACGGCTCCGGTAAGTCGCCGGCGGGCACCTGCGCAAAGGAACCGTCCCCGGTCTCGCTGCCAGAAGCACGCAGCCCACACCTGACCCGACACCCCGCAAACCGGGGTCGCTCCTGAGAGTGGGCGCCTCCAGCCTGGGCGCCTCCATCCCTGGGAGCATCCCACGGCGGACAGCGTGACCCGCTGCCCCCCCCCCAGCGCTCCCGGGACCTGGGATCTTCCCACGGGCCGCGCCCACCTGCAGCCTGCTCCAGCCAGGTTTCACCGCCAGGAGCCGCGGGGCGCTTTCCTTTTTTCACCTTTGACCGGTGTCCCCTCCCCGCCCCGGATTACCCTCCCCGATGACCTCTCTCTCTCTCTCTCTCTCTCTGTCCCGCCCTGCGGCCGCGCCTCCTCCAGTTTCACAGTTGCCGGGAGCTCCTCCGGGTATCACCTTTTCTCACCTGAGTTTTGGATGCCGCCTCGCGGTCCAGAATCCGTGCGAAAGAGGGACAAACCCCCGCGCCCCAGCCTCAGAGACACCCCTTGGAAGGTAAGGACGGGCGCCCGGGCCATGAATGCGAAGTCCCGGTTGTGTGCGCCCGCGCGCGCGCCTATGAATAATTGGTGAGACAGCATCATCAACTCTCACTGATAGTACGATTTTTAGAAGTGAAAACATGGCCGATTCTTTTCCCAGAGACGAGAACAGCTGAACTAAGTGATGACAATAGTTATCGTTTCTTCAGCACTTACTGTGTGCCTGACACAGTATAGAAAACTCTTGTTGTAGGCACGTAAGCCTTTCCAAGGTGAAATGAAGGAGGAGGTATTATCACATTTAATAAAAGGGAGGGGGATGCAAGCACAAAGAGATTTAGCAATTTATCCAAGGGCATCCAACTTTTTATTCAAGGGGATGGGTTTATAGCTGGTTGTTCCTCCCTGGAAATTCTGGAGGTAGATTGGCAAGGGAATGGTTTATTCAAAGCCAGCTTTGAGGAAGATGGAGAAAAACTTTCTGACTCAAAATATCCATCTTTGGGGGATTTAGGGACATGGAAAGATTTTATAAAAGGCAAGAAGGCAGAGTGTGACAAAAGGCAGGAAATGTACAGATATTATGTATATAGGTAGGCTTTGTAAGTCAGAAACATGCCAGTCTCCAGTTCCTAGCCCCTCTGAGTGGGGGGGAGAGATCTCTTCCTTCTGCCTCCACTCACAGTTTG